AGATGGAAAAAACTGTTTTTTTGACTATCACAGTATTTTCAAGTAGCCATTTTGAATTAAAATAAAATAAAAAGATTAAACATGTTGATTTCGATTGGAAAAAAAAATCGGTCCTCAAAGGGTTAATGAGATCTTTTTCACTTAGGTAGCCAAAGAAGAAAAGCATAAACCAACTCATTGGGCCTATTGCTTATTGAACAATGTCTACTCATTATGGTTTATGCATTTACCTACAATGATTAATTGTCACGTGTCATCACGAGAAGTTTTGAATTATGCGTATAAAATACTTGTACAAATGAACAGGCAACATTTAAAGAATCCAGATGAAGTTAGAGTCATTCTCCTATCTTGTTTTCTTTTCAATCATTATTTTCTGTTTGTATAGATTTGTTTTCGTGTTATTATCCAATTATGTGGTCTTTATGATTATCCTGTGCTTGCTGTCAAAACATTTTCATTTATGAAACGAACAGGAGTTGAATGGAATGCAATAACATACGGTGCTTACAATAAGGTGAATAGATTGTTTAAGTATTTATGTAATCAGTGTGTGAACTAAAGTTTGATGTTTTAGGCAGTTTATGAAGGAACGTGGCCACGTCACGATCGCTGGGCAACATTGAGAGGTGTTGTTCGAGCTGTATGGGCGTTTAAAAATGCACATCGTGTGATGAATAATCAAAAACACCAACATCAACGTATTCGAAATCATCCTGATACAGCATCGTTAGATACGAGTTCATTGGAGGATTCAGATGGATGTAGCATCGATTCTATGGCCTTAGCTAACGACAATACAAATCGTCTTGCATCAAATGAAAATTTAAAAGGTAAAAATGTTCTTTATTCCCATGTTTATTTGATTTGAACTCTCTCGCTTTTAGACAATCGTTCTGATCGAGGTTATTATTCAAATACAAATACGATAATAGCACAAGATGATACCTTAACAAGTGTTTTATCGACAAGCAGTCATATTATATCGACTTTGGCGGGTACAATACGTGATATCGCAGAAAGTCCTTATTTTCCTAAAATGTCATTTAAAAAACGACCATCATGTATGTATATTAGTGTTTGTCACAGAAAAATTATTTTAACTCTCTTTTATTTAGTTGATTTATACACGTCATCCTCCGATGCAAAAGTATCGAATAATAACAACAATACAAATAATAATAACAATCAAAATGGTGCACGATCCATCGCAGTTGTACTCGATATGCCAAGCAAATTAGACTTTAGTACTTTACATTCCATTGCACATCAGACAGGTTAGTTCGATCTATAAAAAATACGATAACCGCTATACAGAGCGTAAATGATATGTCAAATAGTTAAAAGAAAGTGACCATCTTCTATTTAAAGCGCTTTTATTCCCTTTGTTAGCTCGTTCGGAAGCTGGCATCTTGATGACATCGAGTCTAATCGAAATTGGAGATGTTGGAATGTTATCCTACCGTTTACCAGCACAATATATTCAACAATCTTTGAATTCACAATTGGCTCACCCAAGACGTTCAATTTCGTGTCTAACGTCAGCATCTCAATTAAAACTGAAAATCTCTGACGATAGTCGACTGGTGTCAAATGGCGAAGAAAAAACGCCAACAAATGCTCCAATAAAATGGGAATTAGCGTCGCACCAGCAAGTACTCACAAATGACCCGCTTGGTTTATTCAATCTCTCTGCATCACAACCACAACCACCAATACGTCGTATTATGTCTGGCATTGATCAGTCATCTACCTCAAGAACAACGCTGCAACCAGTTAGGTTATTTGCTGATGAAACATTTCAAACAGCGCAAAACGATGTTACACAAAAGAAACGAGCGAGTAATTATGACTTATTAACAACCACAGATTATTCATCGTCATCATTAAAAATACCCACATCAATAACACAATTACGCGCAAAACTAAACCAAAGTGGATTATCAGCATTATATAGTCCCAAAAGCATTAACTCAATTCGATCATTTGCATTTAATCGTTTGAATGATTTAAAATCAACTGTCAAAGTCATGACCAACGCACCATTAACATCAAATGGAATAATAACAGCAAATACGGCCTCAACTGCGAATGTTTCCACTTTGTCTCAAAGAACAATACCCCAATCGACAAGTCTTTATACAGTTAAAAGTCAAAAAGAAAAAAGTAACAGTGGTAGTAGTGGAAAACTAAGAGGTAATTCTGATAAATTAAACTAATTTTAAGATTATTTATTTGTTTTTTTTGTTTTCTCTAGGAAGCTTATCATCCCTTCTATCTCAACAAAGTTCTAATAGTACAGTGCCATTTAATAATTGTAATGATCCAATAAGCAATAATAGTTTCTCACCATCAAACACATTACATGATGAAATTAAATCACTTCGAATTGATCCGGCTTCTGTCGGCATACCAGTTGTTGAAAATCACGATGATGATAATAAAATAAAAATTTATGTTGAAATAAGTAGTTGTAATAGATGTTCATCATGCTCACAGTTTCTCTATGATGAAGAAATCATGGGTGGTTGGTCTGGCGATGATTCTGAATTACATACGGTGTGTGCACATTGTCAAGTTAAAATTATACCAAAACTAAGTATCATTGTCAAAGTATGTTGTCATCTGTTCTTTTGCGCGTTGCTTAGTATTTCTATTTTTATAGGATATGAGATCGACAACGGATAACGTTGAACATAACCAAGTATCATCTACTCAAACTCACGAGAATGGATCATCACTTGATTCTCCTATTACACCAACTAATACAAGATCAATCGCTGAAAGAGTGAAACAGTCGTTGTACGTTGATAATTTATATTCTAGTTTAAGAATCTAAATATCTTCTATTTATTTTCAGTCGTCTTCGTTCATCAACACCAATTATTGTTCATTATTTGAGTCCATTGGTACTTCGAAAAGAATTGGAAAATGTTCTTGACTCGACTGACGATAGCAATGTTTTATATCAAATTGATTTTATGGATAAACATCCAATACTGTTTTGGAATTTGGTATGTATTATAGTCAAGCAGTTTTTATTCTTATTCAACTTTTCTTGTATCATTACATCGTAGATATGGTTTTTTAATCGTATACAAGTATCAAGTCATTTAATCTACATGTTACTTCATCCACGTGATGAACAACAACAAAATATTCGTACATATGATTTTAAGCAAGAAGAATGTATTCGTATACGTTGTATGTGGGATAGTTCAATTAGTTACGATGATGTGGCCGAACCATTGTATAAAACATGGGAACATGATGGATCTGGTATGTGAAAATTAACGATAAAATTTTTTGATTATATGTTTTATTCTTGCTACTGATGTTGTAGATGGGCGTCCTACATCAATGATAAATGCATTGATCACAGATGAACATAGCACAGTGACAGGAAAGTAAGTTAAAATCATTCATTTTATTGTCCATAATTATCAGGTACACTCCCACTCCCTCGACTACGAACAATCAAATAGCAAAAATTCTTTCTGTTTACTTTTTCTATGCTTAATAATCGTAAAAAATGGTTTATTCACTTTTTTTCTTCTTTCCATTTTAGAGTTATGCAGTCGATTATTTCTTGTATAGAAAATAATGATCTATACAATCCAATACGTTTATTTATCAAAGAAACGTCAAAATCAATACGTCGTCGTCTAAGAAGACGTTCAATGTATAGAGAAATATTGTTTCTAGCCAGTGTTGCTCTTGGACGAGAAAAACTTTCATATGGTAAATATCTTCTGTTGATAATACTTTTTAGACTAGAGAGAGAGAGAGAGAGACACATACATTTCTCGTTTATTTAGATGCATTTGATCGTGAATATATTAATGTCTTTAATCGATTGACAGATAAACAATTATCATTGATATATGATTTTGACAAAGCCCCAAATTTATCTGCTGTTATGTGTCGCCGTTTATTCTCATCTTTAGAACTATAAATTTATTCTACTTCTTTTTCTCTTTTTAGTAGCTATAATTTTGTATAAACAGTGTTTTATGAAGGAAAACTAGTCGCGTTTTTGTTGTTCTCGTTTTTTTTTAAATTTTTTGACATGTGTAAGTTTATTTGTGCTCAAGTAACTTTGTGTTCTCACACATTTTTATAAGATTGAATCGTGAATGTGTGTGTATGTGTGCCGAGTTAAAGTTGTCGAATAAACGTTAGTTTTTATTGACTTCATCTGAGCCGAAATGCTTCCACTTTGTTGTTGTTTTATTATTCTCACTACTATTTGTTTGTCTAAACCTATTCATTTTATTCCAGTTGTTCGATCATGAATAACAGTTTATCGTTTTAATTTATTTTTTATATCTCAAACTATGTCACACAAAAAAAATTTATCTGTAGTCATCTGTCAAAGGAAATTTTTCTATATCGTCTCAAACTCTTTTTAAAGTCTATGTTTTTTTTTTTGTGTAACCGCATAAGTAAAAAGAAGTTGACAAATAACCAGTATATGGATCAACTAACTCATTCTCTGTATAAAAAAACATGTATAAAATAATATATAGATGTGCAATAAACGAAACAATTAATAAGTTTTAAGGACAATATCGAAACTAACTGAACAAAATTTTGAACAGGCTGATGGATAATGTTTTGTTTGTGAAGTCACCAGTGAGCCTATGTGTAAGTCACCAGTGAGCCTATGTGTAAGTTATCATTCTGTATATAGTTAAATAGAAATTTCTTGAATTAATCAATCTCTTACAATAATTGTTTAAATATTGAACAAGAGTACGAAATGTTTTCACGTCTATCGATGCTATACAGTCATAACAGATAACTTTAGTAGTTCATCATAATATTATGTTTATGGGGTTATTGCATTAGAAGAATAGATCCTATGATTATTTGTAAATCGAATATAGAACTGCTATGAATTCATAGCAGTTCTATATTCGATTTACAAATACTTATTTCCAACTGCTCTACCAACAAAGATCCTATGATGTTGTGGTTTATCTTTCATCGACATTATTATTAAAATATAGATTTATTTGTCACAGGACACGATATAAATAATAATTATTAGTATTGATATTTCTTTCTAATTACTTTCTTCAAAATAACTGTCGTTTTTGCTAGTTGTTGTTGTTGTTTTTTGTAGGATTTGATTTCTAATGGGCAAAGTTCATGAATACAATCAAGTTTTCAACGTTTTACTTGGAAATATAGTGAAGGAGTTGAAAAGTTACAGAATGTTTTCGTAATTTGTCCAAATGTCAACGGAGTATTAATACGTTAAGTAAATTTTTTAGAAAAGGTACGAGATATTGTCTCAAAAACGACGTAAATTGTTTGTTCAAGGATAGTAAAATAGTTCAGTTTTTACAACTTGTTATCTCAAAACAAAGAAAGCGTTTTGCTTATATGTCTTGTCCCTATTTATTATTTTTAATATCTCAAATTAGATTAAGATGGTGTTGCCTGGCTTTTCACAATTTTTTTTCTCTGAAATGAAATTTGGTTATAGTTATAGTGCTACTTACTGCAGTTCTGCAGATTTATCATCGACTAATTACACGTTCGCAAACATTAATCAATCAAGATTAATATTTGAAAGTAAATTGCTTAAAAAAGACAACAGATATCGTTCTACAATCCGACCCAAGTTGTAAATCTCCATCTATCGTGGTTTGGACGCTGTAGGCAAGGTCCGGAAGTCTATCCATCGAATAAATCTGAAGTCCAGAAACCCTAAAAACACATGAAACATAGATTTTCGAACACGGGAAATCTCGAGGCAATGTTTGTTTTGTTCTTCAGATTAAACAAACTTCAAAAGATCAAATTTTCAGAAAATTTGAGTTTTTTGCTATGACCGTTATAAAAACCTTCTAGTGCCGTCATTTCTCAATCAAATTGCATGAAAATGAAAGTTGAAAAGTGAACATAAGAGCAGATGTTCTATCCGATCTCACGAACAAAACTACCAAAAATAAAGCAGATCTTCGACAGGTTATATATGCCTCTCTCTCTAATCTAAAAAATATTATTAACAGAAGCTATTTATCATATGAAACTTTTTCTCTTCCAGCTCTTCAAGTGAAATCTCAGTATAAGAAATAATTTGAATATTTCTAAACTGTACAACAGGCGAAAGTGAATGAGTTTTGAAAATCTGAAGCAATTTGGTTGAGAAATGACGGTACTAGAAGGTTTTTATAACGGTCATAGCAAAAAACTCAAGTTTTCTGAAAATTTGATCTTTTGAAGTTCGTTTAATCTGACGAACAAAACAAACATTGTCACGAGATTTTCCGTGTTCGAAAATCTATGTTTCATGTGTTTTTAGGGTTTCTGGACTTCAGATTTATCCGATAGATAGGCTCCCAGAGATTGCCTTCAGCGTCTGAACCACGATAGATGGAGATTTACAACTTGAGTCGGATTGTAGAACGACATCTGTTGTATATCCACATGTGTTTAGAGCAGTACTTTGGTATGTAAATTTTTGGAACGGCAGACTCGGGCATTTTGTTTTGAAAGGTACCTGATAGACTTGTTGAATCTGGCTCAACTTAAAATTGGAATTATATTACTACCACCCTAGTGAAAGTACTCATACGATGAGTACGACTTTACTCATAATTCGTCCATGAGTACTCATATTGGTACTACTAACAATTTCTGAGTATTGTTACTCAGTGAGTACTCAGTTACTCATGTGAG